ATGCAAAGAGCACTTGCCCCTCTACATGATGCGGAACCAAATCCAGAACCAAATTCACCAGCGCAGTGGAAAGGCAGTCTCTTACCAGGACCCGACCTTCAGATCGGCTGTTGGGACCCGACCTTCAAAGTGGGGAACTTGGGCACTGAACTTGTCACCGGGTACACTCCCGAGTCAACTAACAGCTCGACCCTGACTGTCTGGCCCCCTGGGTCCGAGTGTTTTTTTGTTTTCCTCTACCAACCAGTGGTTTCGAGGGTCCATGGGATCGTCTTCCAGGGAGTAGTGAATTGAGCCTTGCCTCTTTTCAACCAGTTTAGGGCGCCCACGACGGGCGTGTCTGCCCTCGCTCTCCGGCGCAGCGACTCGGCCGCCCGACCCTGCGAAAGGACCTGGCACTGGTGGCGTTTGAAAATACATGCAGTCTTTGGGGGGTTCATTCCTGCCTTGTAAGGTCATAATACAATATATACATAGATTGTCAATACTATTGCCCTATAGGTCAATGACCTCCTTTTTTACTGGGGTTGGTCATACAAGAGCACTGCCCAAAGAGGTCAAAGAGCAGGTTTTACTGGGTCTTCGGACTTGTAGAGTAACTAATTAACTAATTATGATATATGAGTCATGCTTATACGATCTGGAGTGTCTGGGCGTAAAGGGTCGTGTTTTTTCTGTTCCCATGATTCCAGGCCTTACAAGCAAGCCTATCTTCTGACTCCCGAGCCGTTTCGTCCACCTGTTCCTTTACTTATAGCTGTACAGGTGGTCCGACTCCTGTCTATGGCAGTCTATGAAAAACAAACTGTCACGAACGTCCAAAACTTATACAGGACATTCAGGACCAGAAGAGTGGATCATATTTGTGCATTGACTTTGTTGGACTCCTATTTCGTGGCTGAACAGTTTAGCTGCAGAGTCCTCGAAAATTGGTGGCTCTCCAAGAGTGCTGAGCGAAGGTTTGAAGGAAACTTGGTAGCACAATTCGGTCATCATGCAAGAAACAGGTGTGCTGGGATCCGCACATGCATTGTAACAGGAGACTTCCTGGAAACATCTAGGAATGGAATCACTCATATAAAGACCCAAATGGGAAACGTAAACATCACCCCATCAGCAAAACCAGCTTGGACCAAGCCCCCGAAGAGGAGCGTGCTCCCCGCCACACCTCGTAGCGGATGGACACATCACTTCCTGCATACGCCAAAACCAGGTCGACCCGGTGAAGCCGGGGGAACTGTGGCTGTGCGGGACTTCTCTTTTCCGATGTGCGCCATCGACTGGGCCTCCATTTAGCAATGGTCTCATTCCAGACTCGTGCTTAGCAAGGAATAAGGCTGAATAAGGCAATGGATCCTAAGGCATCTCTTGTGGGGGTTCACTCCCTCATTCCCTACTGAGCAGAAGTCGACACCAAACAGTACCTAGATCGGACCCATTTGCGACACCACACACCGGCACACACAAGCACACAGGGGCACACAACGAGACTGAGATCCTTTATGCCCGACACCTGGATCTTCACAATCCCGTTTGGGCTCCCCGGCTCCAACCTTCGTTTCGAGACGGTGAGACTGGGGTGGGTGCCAGGAGGGTCCAGTCATAGCTTCTGAGGAGGTACGACTGGAGCCCAAACGGGAATGTCTGCCTTTTCTTTCATCTAGAAGATCAGCACAGTAAGGCGATTTAGCATGGCTGGAAGATGCAGGTCTAGTCCGAACTGCTTCCGCCTCATTCTCCAAACTTAGGAACCAAGGCCGCTGTGTTTTCCCCACCCTTCCGAACCCCTCAGGGCGTCTCTCTCTCTCTCTCTCTCTCTGTTAGCGCTCCTTTCACAGCTGCGGCCGCTGCTCCTACCTCGTACCTGTGTGCTGCAGCCAGGAGCTGATCGGTGCACCGAATTGTCCAAACACGCTATGCCACTCACATGCCCTTTGGACAGCTTTTGACCATGGAGTTGTCTGGGGAAATGGCTGCCAAATCGAGTTACTGCATAAGCAAAAACCGTGAAAGACCATAAAGACCCTAGTTAGTATACTTGCTAGGACTGCCGGCGCCATTGTTGCGGGCTACCCGCAGTCCCATGCAGTCCCACGCAGGAAATGCCCGGCTGCCGGGCAGTCAGCCAACCAATCAACCAAGGAAATCACGTACCTAAAATATCTATGTCTGACAGCCATGAGCCGTTCTGCGACACTCAGACGGAGACATCTGGACAAACAAACATCTTTTGACAACACAGCGACAAAACTGTCTTGAGGCGTGCAGTGATTGCTAACATCACTATAAATTAACAACACATCTCCTGCAGCTTCGAGCCATGAAATCATTCGACAATCAAACGTCCAGAAAACAGCATAAACAGCGCCCAAATCTCTTTGTTGCGCACGCAGCGGTGGGAAGAGGCTCCTGGGAAAAACGCAGGAATGCCATGAATACCAACCCGCTTGCCAAACGTCATGGGCGAGGAGGGTCTCCAAAAAATCTTCTGAATCCAAGGATTGGCTGAAGCCAGGGACGTGGACCCATCTTGTACATCCAAGTGACAAACATACACACCAAACACAAATGGGAGACTCGTAAGGCTACCAGTGAAGTGACTTGGGGACTCAACGGCACCTGAGCATGCTCAAGACTTGCCTAAGGCCTACGTTCATGAACTCTCTGCACCATAATCGTTTTATAGACCAATTGATTAAAAGATCAAATTAATTTGTCTACCACAGAAGAAGTCACCACGTACTGTAATCATATTCCACAGAAGAAGTCTCACCAAATGAATTACATACATTGAATTATACTTCCAGACTTCACCAACCACACCATGCCTCACCACATCCCAAATCGCCCGAATGCCTATCATTGCACCAGAAATGACCATGTCCCATATGTATATATATATATGGTGTGTGTGTGTGTGTCGCTTTCCAAACTTCACTACCAACCTCTATTTGTTCCGAGCAAACCGCCAACGAACTCCTCATTCTGGCTCTGCCATTGAACTGAGTCCTGCCACAAACGATGGGGGCAGAGCAGAGACAGGAGAACATGGAAACCACAGTCCCCCAAACGAAATCTCATGTGCATGCATTTGGATTCCTGTATGCACCTCGGACATATGCAAACACGGGGGAATAGGTTCACCACACTCACTTTGTGGGGCAAACACCCGCAAAGCCAGACGAAACGCCAGGAAATCCCAAGAGAGGTTAAGTGACCTTATAGGACCCTACTGGGGTACCAGACTGGGATAATCTATAGGGTCCTTCAACCTTTGTTGGTCAGGAAAGCCAAGAAGAGTCATCTGTCGAGTTCTGATCCCTCTTTGACCTGGACTTTTTGCTCGATACCGCCTGGCCCATGAACGCTGACCTCGGACGCCCGGTGCGAAGCAGTCCTCACAACTGAACAAAGGCGGATCGGACTGGTCACCTCAAGCGGCTGGTCAGGTCGGACTGGGCACGCTGGCGCTGGTGGGGTCCAAGCCGGATCTGGTGGTCACATCTCCAAGCTGGAGAGTGTGACCAGGTGCTTCAAACCTTCAATCCATAGGCCACTACCCCCACCCCAGGTCAGGGGATGAGCCAGGGTGTGGACGTAAACGCACAACATCAAACCATCAGCAGTTACAGTTGTTGGGCATCCCACTGCGTAACTGGTTGGTTGGGTGACCGTTAGGGGCGACCGGGACGACCGCACTTAGCTGCGAGCTCCTGCCGTGGCCGGCCTCACCTTAAACAGGCTCGCTGCAGCGAAGAAACTGCAAAATCGTGGCCGAAGGTGAAGCAGCTCTCCCCCCGTCCGCAAGTGAACCCAAGTCCGTGCATGGGAAAACCCATGGTGTATACCTCTCTGGTGTCCTCAAGCATAAGCGGAAAATGGCCTGTTTGTAAAGGAAAACGGTCTTCCTTTCTAGGCGATGTTTGTTGGAGGAGGGGTAGATCTCTTTCGTATTACCTGCCCTGACCACGGCTCTGTCACCAATTGGGCCCGCCCGCACCGCGCGCCGGCGCTGCGTTTCATCATGAGGCTTGAGGACACACCTATGTACAAAGTGGGCACCTTCTATCCAACAAGCATGCAAGTGGGTATGCTCCTATGGTACGGTATAGGATCACTTGGAAGACTACTTTCTGAATATCAAAAACCAAGGAGTCTTCCGCTTCCATGCTGCTTGTTAGGAGGGCAACCCATAGGCGCTCATGTGGCGACGGCTCAAAACCCGGAACACCAGCGCTTCAAAGCCTTGTGCCTTGGCTCAAGGAGTTCAGTTGATCCACCACCAGCGCTGGTCCACACCAATGGAAGACCAAAAATGGCAAACGTCGCCCTTGTGGTCCTGGAAGGCTTCAGTTCCTCAGCAAATCGCACGTGAATCTGGATGCTTACAAGAAAAACATCAGGCCCTCAAACTGATGGATTCAAATTCTTGCTCACTATGACTCAGGCGTTGAACTTCTGCTTATTGAGTGGCAAGTCTACAAAATTCTACAATAAGAATCCTAAGACACCCTATCAGCTATCAGCTATTCTACCTGGTAGTACCTCGATCCGTCTTCATCCGTGCAGGTCGGTCATGTTCTTCCACCTAGCGTCGCTCCTCTCCAAGCACCGAGCCCACCAGCTCCCCAGGCGCCGACGCTTGGACCTTTCGGTAGCCGGACGTCGAGATCTCACCTCCGGGGTTCGCGCGGCGCGGGCGGCGGCGACAGGCAGTGGGAACGCACGAAATCGCAGGCTCCAAATGGAAAGACAGAGACGATCTTCCGACTGGCATGCCAGAGGGATTGATGATTGGGGTGGATTGAGGGGTCCATGTAGGCACAGCTTTCCATACACAGTGACTGGAACGCCGTCCACCCGTCTGAATTCTGTCAGGTCTCCGTCCCAAATCAGCTGAAACCAATCCTCCCTAAGCCGTGCTCCGAAGGAGAGGTCCTGGCGAAGGCAGTCGGACGTTTAAAGGGGCCCATCTATCCATCTGTCTCTAGGAGTTCATCTGTTGGGTCACAATGGTAACAGCCAAGATGGGAGAATGAAGGGGCGTTTCATGGCGTTTCCATCAATAAACTCTACCATCTCTTATGTTAATTAAGATTGCCATAAGCATCCATAAGCCATATAAATGAATAGAGGTCATCTCTCCAGGAGATGCTGCCTCTGTTGGATTGGTGCCAAACCTGGAGATTAAACATCGCATAAGCCCTGCCAGTTTTCTGCTAAACGTCACAGTGCCTTCGGTCAGTCCATTGGAAGGTCTTTTCTCACCTCCTGTCTGCTGCCACTTGGAAGAAACAAATGGTGCGACGCCAAACAACATGACCTTGCCAAGCCAAAAAAATACATCACTCCAATTGGACACTCTCATCCAAATCTTCACCCCATCTCTCTAGGTATAGTTCAGCAACCATGAGCTACCCAGTGGTCTTCTTTTGTCGCATCTCTTTGCAAGACATGCATCTTCCAAACCTGGACTTGCTGTCAGGGGGCGGCATCCCCGGCTTCACCGAAAACATCAACGTCACCCTATTCTTTCGCAAAACCAGGCATCTCTTCCCAGCATCTTCCAACAGGAAGAGGACCTACCACGGGGCCGGTCCTTCTGAGAGGGCGTGTAGGCACCAAAGGTCTCACTTGCTGCAATGAAGTCCTTCGTCGGAAAAATCGTTGGAAGCAGTTCCCGCGGAGCAATTTAGATGGTTTGGGACATGTCAGTTATTATGCAGGACCCTCAAAGTACTCCTATAGAGATTGGTACAACATGCAGCCGCACCGGTTTTAATAGGGTCATGTCCCATTGTTCTAGGGTACTTGAGGTCGGGCCCAGCTAGTCTGCTTGGGGGGAACACTGTAAAGACTTGCGCTTTGTTGGACCTTTAAGATTAGGGCTTCATATACCAAGCCCACAGACCCAAGGACTCTCCGACCCCGAGCCCGACCAGGGATGAGCATTCCTTGCAAAGCCTGAAAAGTGACTAGTTGGGAAACAAGGAGCTCTCAAACTTGTCCATCTCTTCAGCAAATGACACCACTGTTCCAGTGATGTCCAACGCCAACCAACGGCGCCAAAAGGATCAGGCTTTTGCTTTTCGGGCACTTGAAGGAAAAGAAGCACATTCATTCAGGAGCACAAAAGGAGCACCTCTCTCATGGGAGTACAACTGCACTCCGACTCACTAACATGGAAGCCCCCTGTTCGTAAAGGAAAGCAGTCTTCCCAGGGGCAATTTTCCACTTCCATGTTAGTGAGTCAGTGTATATAAATAAAGCCCCAGAGTCCCAGTTGTGGAATGGGAAGCGTTGCCCTTTCACCGGATGGCTTGGCTGGGCTGTCACGGTGCTCCAATACCTGGGCGCGGCTTCTGTGGAGGACATGCCGAATGGGTTGGCTGTCTTGGGATCGGGGGGGGGCGGCCCCTGGAACCACATGATTCTTTTGGAATCTTAGAACAACCCCGGCAGAAAAAAACACACTCCAATATGATCTATGGTAAACTTCCATGAACAACCTCATAATTTACTGTGTGGCATCTCTCTGACGTACCATTCACCACATATATACCTTCTCAGAAGGTACGGCTTGGACCCTGCTGGTGCCTACATCATATAGTATCCAATCACTTTCTCAGAAGGTATGTCGTCGAGCCATAGGGTTAGTAGTTCCGTCGGAAGCTCCGAGCCACACAGGGCTCTGGAAGCTGCCAGCTGCTGCTTGTGCCAAAGCCCGCAAGCCGCAAGCGCTGGCACTATCTGCGTCCACGGCGTAGGCGCCGTACTCTGGCGGAACGTAGTGTTGGTAGGTGGCCTCGGGTACCGAGGCCTGGGCTTATATAATTACCTGATCCATTCTGTACCGTGTTGGATGGGCCGTGTCATCCGACCAATCACCGTCCGACAGGAGAGATCTAATGATGACCTTGATTGGGGTAGGGAGAGCAGAAAGAAGGTGATTTTTTGCCGAGCGTGGATGACGATTTAAAAAACGAACAAATGCTCTTGGCATCGCCAGGTTTAGCAACGGGACCTCCAAAAACTCCCACGCCACCCTCCCAGTGACTGCGGGGGCGAGTACAAACGGATTTCTTCCCTAGCTTTTGAGGACTCTTTTGAGGTTATTGGATGTTGTGGAGGGGGTTGGTAGCGGTGATGGATGGGTGGCTGATGGGGGTTAAGGTCCTATCATGCCCCATCCAAAAGAGCTCCAGACGGCAAATGTGCGAAATGTGACATGTCAAGAGAGGTAGCCAGTGACCTGAACTAGGACCCGTCACCTGGAGTACCTGTGGACCCTTATGGGACCCTTTCAACCTCTGTTGGTGTGTCCTGTGGATCCACTGCTACCTCTGAGGGACGGTTCGTGGAGACTCTGGTAGGCTGTCGGCGCCTCAGGAGGGTCGAGTCGTACCGAACCTGAGGTACGGTGGCAGTGGATCCCTAGGGTGTGAAACGTTGCATTTGGCCGATTCCTTGAGAGTCCAAGGCCAGGCAAACGAAGAAGTCTCTTGGTGACCTGAAGAAGTTCACTTCCTTCACTTCAGTGAGCCAAGTGAGGCTTGATCCCGAACAAAAGACCTGTCGACACGAGGCTTGAGCTCGAGCCGCGTTGATTTCGTGGGCCACTTGAGGCCCATAGACTGGCGAGAACACTTCCTCGAGGAAGTCGCCCAAGCCACGCGCGGTGAGGTTCTCCAGAACTTTCGCTGGTGCACAGGCCATCCTGGGGTGAGCGATGTAATCATGAACGAGCGGCGGTGTACAAGTCGGGTTGAACAAGCCAGAATAAAGCATGAGAAAGGATGCGCGGCCTTGTTTACACTTGTCTACTATGTCTACATTCTACATGTTTGACAGTTGTACTACTACCGTGCTTTATCACCAGCAAAGACATACCATATCGGACCATATCCATACTAATATACTTACAGTATATAGTATATATACACACTATTATACACTTGTAATCATTCCAAAGCGGCATGCAATGAGATGGCATGCATGATGGCACTGCCCACATCGGATGTCATGGCCCCCATGATTTCTCCTAATTTATGGCGACGAAGGTTGAGGGAATGACCAAAGCTTGGGGTGAAATACATTACACATCATCATCATTAAATCACAATGACCAACAAAAGCCGGGTTGACACATCTTTTGTGGATCAGTCCAGGACCGGTGGGCCACCCACGCATGCTGAGTTTGGGACCGACCTTGCCTGATGGGCCACATGCAAAACACCGAGCCGTTCTTCAGGCTTACAAATTGATGAACAGATCGACGTCCGGTTTTTGGATGGTGTCTTCACCCGACTCTCGGGTGACTTGGTTTCACCAGCAGAGGTGGGTCAGAACCGACTGTTCGACTATCCTAGGCCAGGGTACTCCTGGTGACAGGTCCTATTTACGGTCACTGGCTACCTCTGCAGGCATGCAGG